CAAATATATATATACATATATTTATAAATGATGAATTTTAATGTATATGTTCATGTGTAAGTTTATGTATATATAAACATATGTATATATATTTAAACTTTATGGTTGTATTTCAGTTGCCACGGAACATTACGTCATCTCAGCTAAGACTCTCATCAATCTGTTGGTCTCCATAGAATTGTGCTTTCGTTTTAAACTAAGTGTGCAATGCCCTTGCAATAATGTTTATGTTGATACCCCCTCCCCCCCCCATAGGATGTGTGCGATGGTGCTCATCTTTTTCTTGTGCCATGCAACTCTGAAAATACCTCAGCTGCCATCACCAACGACAAAAAACTAGATATATTGCTTACGCAAACAAAGACTTTGGAATCACTTTTATTAATTCGAAACAGGTGAGATTTTAATATGTTGCGGCTCATATTTCTTCACGTGTGTAGTGTAGGTATATTACTATTTCATAGTGTACGCTGAGAAGGTTGGAGCGAGTGTTTTATTCTTTCAACTGTGACAGGAGAATTTGACCGTGAGCAATTTTTCGACTGCGAGCAGAGTATTAAGGTGTGAATAGTTATTTTCATTTCATATAGCCTTCGAAAATAGAGACATGATGTTCTCGCACCCGAACTCCATCATATATATGCAGCTTATATATTCTTTTAAAAATTATTTATTCGTGGAGATATACTTGTCTTCTTACGGTAGTTTGTTCGCGTAACATATATAAGAGGGTAACTTTCAAAATATTCGTATATGTGTGTTCTCTAGATCATTTCTGTATCCGTTATATCGGACTTCGGATGTCGTTCCCGAATGATCCTTGATGATAAACCAATCTGTGAAAGAGAATATACGTATTTATCTCGTCTGCCCAGTAACACTTTGGAACGGGGCCTGCAACAAGCAAAGTCTACCTCAGAGGCTTTGGCGAACGATTTGCATTCGTTGCGCTCTTCGACGACGGCAGAGTTTTTGCAATTCAGTATGTATTCCAGTACGATTCCATCGGTTTGTATCTTGCGCGGTTTGCTCGAATGTGAGTAGAATAGCTTTTGCAACCAGTGATAGTGTTATCGTGTATACGGTTGGAGTCCGCAATTCTACATCACGACCCGATTCAGTATGTTGTATCAGCACTGCTCATGACGTGATGATTGCTGCCTTGCTCGTATGTGTTACATGCATCCGTCAATCCAACTCTGAGGAGTTCTAGACTAAAGCTTGAATTCGTGGATGCATTCTATAGCACAGCTGTATCTTCATTTTCCATATTCTCAGCTGAATTTTCAATATGAAAAATGAGAGTCATAAATTGGAGCCCCGGCTATTATTATACTTTAAAGTTGCCTGTTACAGTTTTTGGTCGAAAGGTCATTCATAGAATTACTTGAGTGCAAACAGTAAGTTGAACAATACCTAACCTAACCTCCCACTGTTTTGTGTATTCCGTTGGATACGGTCGGAAAATACTACTGTGAATCACAAGCAAATGTTGTGGTCGTGCGATAAATCGATATTTGCTGTGGATTCTTGTTTTGATGATGTCGTGCTATCATACCGTCGCAGATTTATTCCTTTTGTCGTCGAAAGCTGAGGTAGCTCGTCTTATTCGAAGCGAAACGGCCAGTAACAATCCCGCGGCAAAATTAAGGCGGATTGCTAGTGAGAAGGTATCAAAACAGGTTTTCTACTCGACAGTTTTGCATGTGTATTACGACTGAGAAAGTACATTTTGGGCTATGTGTTGCGTACTATTTTGATTCTCTGCCAACCTCGCGAAACTGTCGTTGGATTAGATCCTGGCCGAAGTTTTAGTGTTGGTGCTGTTTCTGTTTCTCAGACTCAAAACCACAATTTTTTTTCTTTCTCACAGCTTAAAGAATATATCAGAGCAGCCGATACGACCACAGATAATGTACATCGAGCCTGTGCGCTTGTGGACAGCCTTTCCCGCGATGTGGTCCAACTCGGTGTCAGGCCTGGAAGAGATAGTTTAGGAGAAAGTGAGTATCACCCATATGAGTGCTTTGGCAGTGCGTGCTACACTCAAGCGTTGAATTCTGTGCGCTGACTTGCTTTGTGCCTGCTGCTGTCACCATTGGTAGATTCGCACTGTCTATTGAGTAGTGTAGCGTTTGGCATCGTTAGATTGATTTCTTTGGTCGATGAGCATGCAGCGTACGCGTGATTTTCGTTGATTGGCGATTTTTTTTATTCTGGTTGTTCTATTGATTTTCAGTTACCGATGCGATGAAGTCGATTGACACAGAAGTAGTGAATTTGCGACAAATATTCGAAGAAACCGATGGTATGTTTTAAGATGAAGCCTGTTAGTGCTTGGGCGGCACACTTTCGTAAGCATTAAGTTTCGTTGTGTACATTTCTGTATTTTCTCGTAATTCTCTCTCGTACGTTGCTAATGCATTCATGATATCCAGCAGCCAATTTTAAATCTGGGCACTTCTTTTGGATAGCCAAGCCTACATGCCATGCTAATGGTGCTTGTGTGACCGTATTCTGATTTTGTCAATATAAGCCACAATTTAAAATAAAAAAATCTATTCGTTGTGCAATCTTGGGACTCTCCTTTTAAGAACTTGTGTACACTTGCATGACTCAGTAGCTCAATCATTCACTAAATTGAGTGCTTCGTATATGATTATCTTTGTTGCAGAGCACTTAAGCGCAGTTTGGAAAGAGGAACTCAGTTTAATTCTAGAAGAGGAGAATTTTGTCAAGGTACTGCTGGCGACTAGCATTTCTATACTGAAAATTGAATACTGAAAATTACTAAGAAGAAATTGCTTTAAGTATTGGAATCTTCTGGCCTCTTCTCGCCTAATTTTTCAAATATATCCTATATCATTCACTTCAACTCGCATTTCGTCAGGATGAGCGATTGAATTTGACCATACAAGAGGAGACGGTCGAAGACACCTTGCAAGCATTTGAAACGCTTACAAAGTTCATTTTCATGCGGGTATGGCAAATTGGTTTTTGTGGTTTTGTCTTATTGTGAGAGCAGATGGTCACATAAACACACCTGTATGTCTACTACGGCATTCTGGTATGTTCTCAAATCTGTCACTTTTCTGTCCTTGACTATTGTGCGGCTATCGGGATCGATGTTCAGGAACGTTTACCTAAAAAGCAAGTCATCATTCGAGTCCCGAAGGATATCAAACGAGAAGCCGCTCATCAGGTATGTTCAGCAGCACGCCCTATCGCGAACATGACTATATTTCCGAGTGATTACGCTGCCATACATTCGTGTGGTGGATGTACAGGCTTCGAAGAATGTCCGGGCGAGGATGTAGTGGATTGAATATTTCGCTGTGCTTTGTAACAAACAGATCATCCTCAGCGAACTCGAGGAGTATCCGAAGGATGAAGGGAGTATAATGGCACATTTAGCGGAGGTGAGGTGACCAAGATGTGAATTTCGAATTGGGTTTGAGCAGAATATTCAAGTGATACGCTGAGCTACTTTGTATGTTTGCGATTGTGTTTACTTTGATATATTTTAGTATGTAATTACAACTAAAAGTGCTTCGTGACCAATATTTATATATAATAAACTCCGAATCCTAGATCCCAGATTCGGTGTCGGTGTTGTTTTCGTTTAGCTCTTGTTTTTATTATCTTTGGTTTAGTCCCTATTTTAAAATTCTGTCTTTCAAAATGTCTGTTCTTGCAGACAGAGAGGCGGCGTCAAGCGCGCATCAATAAGTTCAAAGTCGACGCAGAGCAGGAAGCCTTGGGCGAGACACCTGATACTTAAGCGACCTGAAATATGAAATAGTACTACTATGCAGATCGCGTGCTACCTGAGCTACTTGCGAACACGTTAGGTTCACTCTCGGTGTTTGATAATTGGCACGCCTATGATCTGAGATTCCGTACAACGACGGTCAGATGTTCTGGCTTTTCGCGTACGTTCGCGATGTCGATTCTGTTCACGTATTCAGATTCTGTATAATCCGACTGGTGTAACAGTTCTATCGACAGTATAGCACACAACCTTTGTCCACATCCTGCGCGACCAGGTTGTATGTCTTTACATATCTGCTGTCATGCCAGTCTGCTATTCTGATTTGACAGCCAAAAATCCCACGGATACAATCCCATTGGTATTTCCTTGTACTCGTCCGAAAGCCCGTTTTTCAACAACCTGGATTTCTGGACACATCGGCGACTACGGCTGATTGTATTCCTTCAAGATAAAGTCGGAGAATTTTGAGCTCTTTCTTCACGGCTGGCCTGCCGATAGTGGTGTGTGCTGACCTATTTGAGTGTACAGCCAGTTAATAGACTCTGCCTCACCGAGCTTTGCCTGCTGCATAGCGCTCTGACCTTGCAGGTGGCCAACGTTCTGGGTCCCGGTCTGTTGTGTGTAATTATTCAACCACAGCGGTTCGTTCAAGCTGTTTTGAGCAATATGTTGCTGGTACAAACTCATATGACTCAGGTTGAGGGGCGATTCAACCGTACTCGCATATCTCGAAACGCAGTTCAATTCTGCTATGTCAGCATTAATGTTAGACTCGAGTTGTGCGACCCCATTAGGGCTCGGATTTTGATCTGTGGATGGTGCCGCCATAAGCCCCTGTGATCCGATTGATACATTGCTTTGACGACCTGATGATACCTCCTGCTGCCCGGAATTCACTAAGCCCGGGAATTGAATCGGCTGAATAGGCATCGGTTGCGTACTGCAAAACAAAACGAGGGAATCGCGAGTTAGTTCTCAAAAAGTTTTTTTCTGTCTACTGTAAAATTTAGCAAGCGCTGCAGTTTGATCGTGATTTAGTAATAAAACAGTTTGTTTGCTGAGTATCATCGCACGCGCTATGCCGCTCGTTGCATTAACACAAGCTATGATACAGTAGTATAACTGTAAGTTGTGCACAAATCGTAAAGGATAACATACCTCGAAAAACTCGACATCATGGTCGTGAAGTCAGTGTTCAATGAATGACTACCCGGTGATACAATCGGCGGGAATCCATTAACGTATCCTGATGCCTGTTGGTTGAACAATGACGTCTGTTGCAAATTAGAAGGCAGCATATTCCTAAGATATGACAGCGCTAGATATTGAGACTGCATCTCCAGTGGATCATTCTGTACCGTGTGTAGAAATACAAATGGCAGACTTCATAAGTTACGATGTTTTTTTTGAACTGAAGAAAGATAAACACATTCTTCTCATAGCAGATAAGCTATAGTCATTAAACGGTTATAGCTCATAGTTCCTCTACTCACAGTGCATACTCAACATAGTATTTGCAACGGATATTCATAGCGGACACTCAACATAATATTTTAGTGCTCGTACCTGAAGTCCTAAGTGGCGAACAAAATTCTCGAAGCTCGGCGATCCGATATCAAAATTAACATCCGGTGCTTCACTTTGAGAGGATTTTACACCTTCACCCACACACATACTACCACGCGCTGAAGTAGCTGTCTGTTGAGTACTAGCCATTCTAGCGCCGATTCCTGCCCCTATCTGAGTTCCGTTTACCAGTGGACTGCTCGTAGCCGCTGGAATTCCTTCTGGTTTATTTGTGCGAATACTAATTGCCCGAGGACGATGTACGACCGCCTTTTTCTTTCTGGGAGTCTGAGGCATTCCGTTGTGCTTGCGCTTCTTATGTGTACGCATGCACGAGTTGTTGGTGTAGAACCTTCCACATCCAGGAACATCACACTGGACACTGCGATCTATGTCTTTGAACTTGCGGCGCACACGCTTCGGCTTTTCAACTCCACCACTTGTTTGTGAAGCGAGTCCAGCTGGATCACTCGTATTTGAAGCGAGTTGTTTGTTGAATATGCCTGTTGTTGTTCCTATAGTCTGGATCATACCTAGTTCCATTTTCTGGATACTTTGATCAACTGCATTGTAATCAAACATTTGAACGTGCGATCCATTTAACGTGTTGGGCAGATTTAGATGGTCTTCTGGGACTGCCATTGGAATTGTCACTGGAATTGCCATATTGTTCGATGACAAAGATTGGATACTATAGCAGAATCAACACTGTTTCTGTGATCAGAGATTCAAGATAAAGCACGTTGTGAGAACATGCCAATATGAGGTGGATTAGCTATAGCTGTCGATATATAACTTGCTATGAGATGCGTGGTGATGCATCATCTCTCGATGATGATTTTACTGATGATGTAATGCCTAGTAGTAAATATTATAGCTCATCTTTTAGTTCCAGCTTTTTAGTCCACATGCATTTTAGTTTTTCTAGTTGCCTGCTCCAATACGATGTAACTGATTAGGGATAGCCGGAATAATAATTGGTGGCACTAAAATAGTAAATTCCAAGTCCAATCACTTAATCGGATTCGATTTTGATTTTGAATTGCATAAAATCGGTTTTAACCCTATTCTAAAACTCACATAAACATCCCAGGGCAGAGGCCAAAGAGTGCCGACTGCCGAGAGGTGTAAATAGAGATGGGGGTGTTTCTGGTTTCCCTCTGTCGTTCGAGTATTCTCGACGATACGGTTTATTTCGATAAATTTTGAAGGTACTCCTTGGTCATGACGCCCTAATTTAGTCAATATTTTGAGTTACTTTACAATGCGTATTTTCAATATGTATTCGCTACAATTCGCTTTCGCTACGATTCGCTCTCGACGATACTACTGTTGAACAAATTTGCAGTAGAATTTTACCTGGAAGGTAGAAGATTACAAGACTAATTGTTCATATATCATTTGTCTAGCTTGTAGTCAGCATCTCAGGGGTGTGATGTCCAGCGTCGCCCATACCTGTTAGTTGTACACGACCGTCCGCATAGATGTCCACCTATGTGATACAACAATCGACAATACGGAAAGCTTAATGGATGTTAACTACGCAGCGCAATAATTCATGGTTGTTTTATTTTAATGAAAACCTTAGTCAAACAATGTACAGATAGACTCAGAACTTTGCCGGGTTCCATACGAAAAACTGGCCACAATTTCACAAGCATGAGCATGATTGCACAGCATACCTTAGATATGCTACAGTTTATAAGGGAGAACTTGGACCATAGCTCCGGTGGGAACTGCATCGCTCGCATGGCGAAGTACCTGATAACATTCGCGTGGCATACGATCAATATTTGCCTGTCGTCGATTTCACTCGTGTCCGGCCGTCTGAAAAACTTTCTATATGCAGCCTCGATCCGAGCACCTGTGATAAAAATATTAAGATATATATTATTAGTTATGTTTCTAAATTTTATTCGTGTCACCGCCACAGCCACAGAAGTAAATGTTTCAAAGAATCGAAAACATTTTGGCCAAGGGAATTAGTTCGTTGCAGCATATTTTCTATTTTCTCTAGATGGTCATAGAATATCAAGTGAGGCTACATTCATATATTTCGGGAGAGAGACGCTAATATAATCTTCCTCAAGCTCCAGTTTAACACTGATGTTTTGTGTTGGTATACTTACCATCTTGATAAAAATCGGCAGCTGTGGGTCTCCACCTAGCACCACTGGTGAGAGGGATGTCTGGAGCGCCTTCGCGTAGCATTGTACAAACACTTTTTTCTGGCCAGGCAGTCACCAGTACCTCTGTTTCACTCCTAGCTTTCTGTGCTATATTGTGCTGATCGTATATGATCTCACAGGTCTCTAGCGCTCGTGTCATATTGCTGTGGCAAAGTCGGATTCTCATTAGACAGAAGTCGATTTTTGCTAGACTGAGACAGGAGTCGATTTTTGCTAGAGACATCAAGAAAAAAAATCCGGATAGATAGTAAAACACGCTCAAAGTGATAAGTGTTACATCACGGACTAGATGCGCCTAGATGCGCTCCTCTAACCTTACCTCACATATACCTCGTCGAATACGAAAGGAAGCTCGTTCAGTCGCTTCCCCTGTTGCAGAGTGTACAGAAATAAGTATTTTGAGAATTTTGAGCCAATCTCAGTGAAAGAAGTTGCTGCAGAACGAAAATAGAAGTATAATCGTACAATGAACACCGAGTATAAGAAAGAAAACAACATTGCGGGTCGATGGAGAATTACCAAGTTTTATTGCAAGCGCCAGCACAACATAACACAATCGTGGCACTATGGGAAGACAGATTTAAAACATAAAACGAACATACCACCGAGGCTGCTTGAAGTCTACCCAAGGCCGTCAGATGACGGTCTTTATCGTCATCGGCTTTCTCGTACTGCAAAAAAAGGACACGTTTGAATGTAGAACGGCGCGAACAAAAATCAGCAACAGCATCTCGAAAATAATTTGAGATAGAAGCATGCGGGCAACGCAAAGACACAAGTTGCCTTTTGTCGGAGAATGCAAAGCCACAAGTTGTGTTTGGTCCGAGGTTTGGTCCGAGGTTTGAATGGACACACCACCGTTTATGTAGAGTAATACGCAATAGAAGGTATTCAAGAGTATCGGGGTAATAGCAAATGCAGGTACTTATACTATCAGATCTACTGCAGTCTGTAGGTACCCGTCCGTGTCGGATAAAAAAAATATATTGCAACTGCGGGTACTCGTATCAACAGGCCAACTGTAGTTTGTAAGTACCTGTCCGTGTCGGATCAGATAAATCGAGCGCTTGCTCATTTGTATATCTTTTACTGGGGGTGTATCCCCTCTCTTATCCCAGTTGTTGTCCCACTGTACATTGTAGGTCTGGGGTGTCTTGTACTGCTTTGGTGGCAGCTTGTCCGTCTTCTCGGACGCTTTATCATTTGTATTTTTGACATTTGTGTTTAATGTTTCTGGTTCGTTGGGGTCTATTTTGTTTTTCGCGGATCGCAGGGCAGCTATTTCGGCTATTCCTAACACCGCCACAGCAGCTGTGCCTATTATCGCAGCAACCCTTCTTCTTAGCATGCTAGTAAAAATAATAGACACCGTTTTGTATACTTTATACGCATACAAACACACACGTTTCTATGTATACTTTATATTTACATACACGCACGCGCACACGAACACACGCACGTTTTCTGTCGATGCGTATAACGTCTTGTAAAATATTTATTTACAAATTGCTGTCTAATTTAAGGCTATGAAATTACATGTTTGTATTTTTTTTTGTATTTTGCTGTGCAATGAAAAAACAATACGCACTGAGAGAGGCTATTCCATCATCTAATAAAAAATATTAAAATTCTGTAAAAACATGCTAAATACATACAATCTACAAACATAAATATTACATACATACTGTAAATATATACTGAGATTACTACTTACATATCGAGATTGCTACTTTTGTAATACACTGTGCGAGTTTAATGCGATTACAATAATCCAATAATCTATCTCACGACGTATAACTACAGTCTGTCTAACGTTCAAGAACGATGTATATATGAAATATTTAAAAATACATAATTTAAAATTTATTAGTATACGGATATTCTATATATGTATTGATTTTATTCATACTTTAACATATTTATACAAATGTACTTTGAAAAATGTATAGATAATTATTTATACATGTTCTAACATGTGTGTATCTATGAATATACATTTACCTCTATGAATATATGTGTACCTTTATACTATCTCATATTTAGGTAAATAAATGTCTGCATTGTATCTTGATTAGTCCCAACGATATATCGGTCACCAACGTACACGTAGATCGTAATCTACATTGCATTGTATCTCGTTTAGTCAGTCAACAATGTATACGTAGATTTTAATATATGCAAATACGCAGGAATACTTTTATGCTAAAATTTTAATCGGTTGTAAACATAGTTAGCTTCAACTATACGACACAAGATTTATGTATATATAAATATATAAATATATATATATATATATAAATATAAATATACATAAATACATATATACATGTATTATACACGTTATATTTATGTATATAAATATATATATATATATATATATATATATATATATATATATATATATATATATATATATATATATATATATACTATATATATATATAAGTATAATATATATATATATA